AGCGCGGCCGCCCAACAGCCGGGCTCCGGGCAAGGCCGGGACAGTGGGGGGACGAGGGGAGGGAGTAGGGGACAGGCAAGGGCTGTGCGCTCCGAGGAGCAGGGGGAGAGGAGGTTTTGTACCTCATAGTGTCACTGATTTTTGAAGTCCTGGAGCTAGAGCTGAATGAACAGTAAAAGCAGGTTAACTCATTAACCAGTTAGGGGACGGGGAAGCAGCTGTAAAAGGAACAGAGGAAGAAGGCCAGATTATTATTTGTTTCTTTTGTTTCTTTCCTTGTCTTCTCTCATCTCCGCTCGCAACGCCCCGATCACAAGCCCTGCTTGGCCAGCGAAGCGGACACTTCGTCGGCTAGCGTGGCCAGCTGGGGGGAGTCCACCATATTAATGCTGCCGGTGGAGGAGACGTTGCTAAGGCGGCGCGGGGAGGCATCTCCGGAGATGGTGGGGGACTTGTAGACGATTTCAGCGCCGTGGTCAGTCTTGGCTTTGGCGTTCTCACGGAAGGTCAGCTTATGAGTCTCAATCTGCAACGAGAGCGAAGGCCAGTGAGCGGGGAGGATGGGGGAGGCTGTCTACCGAGGACGTTTTACCTGCGAACCATCCACTGTCGTACAGCTGGGAGGAAAGCGGTGAAGAGGAACACGCGACCCCATCGAAATGCTGGCACTGCAGCCCCAGGGGCCAGAGGCGCTGGCTGATCCAGGCTGGCCTGATCCCCCCAAGCCCCCAGTCCTCAGGCACGTCCCTTCCAGCAGCCCGCAGAGGGAAGAGGCATAGCTGAAGGGGAGGGCAGGACCAGGGCCTCTCGGCATGCCCTCAAAACCTTCCCGAGCGCCCGGGGCTGGCAAGGCAGGCAGTCCCAGGCGCAAAGCTGAGATGGCACAACCTGGGGCTGCTGCTTCTCCCCAGGCAGAGATTTAGCGGGGGAATCCCCCATTTGGCTCATTCAGGCTGTCACTTACGCCAGCAGCCCAGCTGGGAACACCACGCTGCTCCCATTAGCCAAATCCCTCTGGGCTGGGGAGGGGAGAGGAAGTGAATCAGGTTTGCTACTTACTGGTGCCCTCCCCAGCCGAGTGCAAGGCTGGGGGCTGGCTCTCCGCAGAGCTGGGCGGCTCCAGCAGCAGGGACTGGAGCCCAGCGGGGTCTGGGCTCGGGGTCCGAGCAGCCTGGGGACGGGTCTTGTCTTCCTTGCCTTTCTCTCTCTACAGATGAAGAAACCCGCCCAGGGCGGTGGGGTGCAAAAAACGCATCAGCAACAAAAAAACAGATCCAATAAACGTCAACCAGAAGGAGGGAAAAAAAAAAAAAAAAAGAAAAGAAATAGAAAACTGTGGAGAAAAAGATCTGAAAAACAGGGCCATTCACCGATTCATAGGGAGAAGAAAGATTGCCTTTGGAGATGGGGAGGAAGGCTTCCCCTGTGCAGCAAAGGAGAGCAGATGCTGCCAGCAGATACTTAGAGCACCCTGGCTCCCAGCACCCGAGCTGGGCAGGAGCCAGCCCAGCTACCAGGTGTTCAGCTGGGAGAGCTGTGGCTGGCGCTCAGGGAGCAGCAGCGCTGGGAACCTGAGTCACTGTGTGTCCAAATCTGAACCCTTCTGCCTCACAGAGCAAGGAGGGGACTGGGGATGTGGGAAAGGCTGGGGAAGGGGCAGCCTGCAGGAGCTGCACTACACAGAGGGCTGGCGGGGCACAACTGTCCCCTCGCTGTGGATGGAGCATCCCACCTTGGAGCAGAGATGCCTGAGGAAGGTCCCTGGCACTAACGTGCAAACAGGAACAAGCTGGACAATGGGAGCAATCGAGGCAGCACCTGAACTCAAGTTTGACTGACAACATCCTTCAGGTGTAGATTTAGGCAGGATACAAGCAACAGCTACATGGGAAGGCTGGGGCAGGTGCTGCTACTGTCAGCTCACAGCCTTGCAAATAAATTCCCCCTCCAAAGGGCAAGTTCTTCAAACTATGGCCCAGTGAACGTGCCAGGATATGAAATCACTGTCACCATCATCAAAACGATGAAAATGGGCTCAGTGGAAGCACAGGGCAGTCTGATGCGCAGCAGCAGTGAGAGAAGGGTAAGGAAGTCAAGCGATCCCTCGGTCAGAGGCCAGCACACTCACTGGGAGGCGAAGAGCTGGGAGGTGCACAGAGAAAACGCAGCCAAGAACAAAGTGCTGAAATACAGGAGCTGAAACAGAACTTTCCCCTTCCACTGAGAAAAAGGTGTTTGAAAAACCAGCAAGATAAAAACCACCTTTCCCTGGCGTAATCCAACCATGGACATCACCAGACTAGAGTCTCAACACTGCACTTACCAGATCTCTCCTGCCTGCAAGGTGCTCTGCTGTCCTTAAAATGAGGTTGTAGAGGCATTTTACTTGACTGAGACTTACTGTGAAGATGCCATTGAAGCCTCCGCAGGAATGGCTCACCCCAAGTGCAGTATTTCACCTTATCCAATCGGCGTTTGTCTTTCAATTTCAATTCCCCAAACATGCACTCCCCTGCCCAGAGCCCTCAGTCAGTCTCAGCTGGGAACCCGAGACTGGAATTAAGAAGAGATCACCTTTCTTCTGAAACAACAGCCCCGTGTAAAGTCCCCTTTTCTAAATAAAGCTAAGCCTTTAGTGCTCCACTTTCAATGGGGAACCAATGCCTCTGCGGTGCCCTGAGCTGCCAGCTTTGCACCACACTGTTGAGGGTAATTGGCCATGTACAATGCAAAACAGATGCAGACAGCAGCATCCCTTATAACGAAAGGCAGGGGGACACGAACCTGTTTCTGCACAACACTCAGAGAACAGCAGAAAGAGCAGGAAACCAAAGGGGAGGATATCAATCACTTACATTCACACTCATTCAGATGGCCACGGGCCAGGAAGGGGATGGAGACTGCGAGCCCTGCAGCTCTGCCACAGCTGTGATCCAACAAATGTCCTCTTGCTTGGCAAACGTAGCCCAGCAGCCCTCGCTGCCTGCCACAACTCACCGGCAGGAAGATGAACCAGCTCTTCAGGCAGAGGCTGAGCAGCCCATGCCTGGCCAGGGTGCTCAGTGGGCACCAGGACGCCCAGGGCAGGACACTTTCTGTCCTCTGGAGGACAACTGCACACAGACCACCCCTCACTAGCACGTGGGCAGCAAACTGTTTCAAGGACTGGAGAGGAAGAGCTGCCTGATCAGCAGAGAGGACAGGACATATGCGCTAGAAATGAGCCTGGTGTGCAGGACTTTTTCCGTGTCCAGCTATTAATCACTCTTTGCTTGCACACCCGCTCGCACGGCAGATGCACACTCGCAGAGGACCAGCATGCCTGCTCCAGACCGAGCACCCCTTTACCTTTTTATTTCCTCCTCCAGGGACGTGGCTGATGTTATCTAACGACCCAATTTTTGATTGCACCTTATCTTTGAAGTCCAGTTTCTCAGATTTCACCTCCACCTGGCCACCGCCTGGAAGAGAAGAGTACCACGGGGTTAGCTCCTGCCCCAGTCGGGGCAGGCTGGAGAGGAAGCACTCGAGTCGGACCTAGCGCTCCAAGGCTGCTCAACTGAAGCACTGCTGAGGCTGAGCAGAGTGTCAGGACCAGGACAACAGCAGCAAGAGGGACTCGGTGATCTGGGCAACACAGGAGCCAGGGCAACTGGGAACCAGAGTAAAGAGACTTTCCAAAGGATATAGTGCAGTACTCTCCCAAATACCAGCAGTTCCCCACACATACTCCTAAATACTTCCCATTTACAGCAACACGTTGGCGCAGATGGGAATGCTGTGGACCAGACTGGATCTTTCCCCTAACCTAAGCGGTCAGGGAAACCGGAAAGGAGACGGCCACGCAGTGACAGAGCTGGGAACAGCATCCAGCTCCCCCAGGGCTCGCTCTGATGCTCCAGTCACTGTCCCAAGTGTCTCTCCCGTGCAACCCCAACCCTGTCCCCGGCCACACACCAAGACACAGGCTGCAAGTGCCCACAGACTAGCGCTCGGTGCCGCCGGATGCTGCAGAGTCAAACGGTACCTGGTTTGTGATGGATGTTGCCCAGGGAACCACATTTGGACGTCACGTGGCTCAGGTCGACTGGCTTGTAAACGATTTGCACCTGTCCGTACGAGAAAGGAGAAGGCAATGAGCTTCTTACCACCACGGGCGACCTGGGGAGGGGGAGGCACAACACACACCGGCACCTGATCTGGATTCGAGGGAAAGGACAGCTTACACCCCAGTAAGATTAACAGTACAAAAGAAACTGTCATCAGAAACGGGAGATCATTAATACCCGTGTGCAGTAGCCTCTCTAACATGTCAGCATGCATAAGATCACCTCTCCACAGAGTGGGGGAGTAGAGGCAATTTTAAAGTGCTTAAGTGAGAGAGAAAGTGGAATGGTGATTAATTAAGATTTGCATACACATCATCCAAAAGGAGGAGATATACCAGAGAGAAAACGTAAAAAATAAATACCTTTTCTGGTGTAAAACATAAAGCTTATGTCCACAAAAACTGAAAGAACAGAAATGATCAATGTGCACAGAACTTTAAAAGAGTGACCAAAATATGCATTTCTGAAAAATGCTGTAACGGAAATAAGGGTTAAAAAAAAAAAAAAAAAGGCAAAAGCAAAGTCTAAATATCTTGCAGGAGTTCACATAACATAAATTAAAACGGCAGTTATAATTTACTGAACCACTACAGTATTTTATGGTATTACACTCTGCTTTTATTTGTTTCACACAGCACGTCTCTGAATATGGACTCCAACAACTGCACTTCAGCCACCAAATTCAAAGACCTGCCATGGTGCTGCAGCGCGTCTGGGCATGGGGCCGGGGGACCAGCAGCCTCTCGCGCACCGAGAACTGGGTTGCACTGAGAACCAGGTCACACAAGACACACACACAAGGAACAGGTAACGTGGAGCTGTTTAGTGCTTATGTTAGGAGTTAAACACCACACTGGAAAACACCAACAACTGGAGTGGTCTGGGACCGTCAGGCGTGCCAGGGACTGCAAACCACAGCACATACATACTGGCAACGTCCGGAGCAGGAAACAAGGGAGGAGAAAAACATCCCCGTATCCCCAAAAGTTACCTTGGACCCTAGCTTTGGACTCACACCTGAGCGTGCGAATCATCTAGTGCTGTAGGACAGCAGAGCTGCGTAGGAGAAATCAGATCGTCGATGCCTCCAAGTTAGATCCTACTCACTGGGAAGCGCCTGGCTCCCAGGAACAGCCTGGAATTTCGTGGGGAGCGTATACTGCTCTCTGTGTTTTTACCAAGTGCCAAAGCTAGTGTGCTGCTCTCCTGAAGCTTGGAAAGGATGTGCCGGCACTAAGGGACCCTCTGCAGAGGAGGCAACTCCTCCAAGCAGCCAAGCAGCTTCCAGACCAGGGCGGCCGAAAGCTAGCTCAAAGGATTTGCTGAAGCCACTGTTCTCCGTCACACCTGAGCGCCCTGCCGTGATTCAGAGCCCTGAGCTGAAGGTGCGTCCTTTGCTTTTTGTGTTGGCCCCGGTCCACCGGCCCCAGCAGTCACAGGGACACATCAGCCTCACAGCCAGATGTTGGGCAGTGGATGCGCACACCACTGAGAAACCTCCCCCCTCTTCTACCAGTGGTATTCAGCAAGGAAAAAGGCGTTGGTGGGACATAATGGCACATCACATCCCCGGCTCTTGGGTAGGCACCAGACCATGTGCAAAAATCTTTGTTTCCTGCAGGTCTGACCCTGCCATCTCCTGGGCCTGTCTCCTGCAGTGACACAGGCTCAGTGTCACTGTCCCACCAGCTTGGAGATAGAGCATCGCGCACGCAGGCCTGCCTTGGCTTTGATACTCATGCATACCAAAGGGTACATTTGACAGAAAGTGAAGACAGAGAGAGGGGAGAAAAGCAATCCTAGAATCTGGCGGCACATCGCAGAGACAGACATGAAGACAGGGTGGGGGAAAGATCACACATTTAACGTACTGGGCAGGAGGAGAGCTGAACTCAGTCAGAAGGCAGGAAACGAATCCCAGAAGGACAGAGCTGGCTGGTGCCCTGCAGCATCCAGCAAATCCTAACATCAAACTATGATCCCGGACGGGCTAGAGTGATTTGTGCACCGCTAGGATCTGGGACCTGAAGGGCCTCCCATTTCCAGAGCAAGCAACAAGCAATTACACTCTGCTCTCCTTCCCGTTCTTTTTTTTACAGCCAGGACTCACTTAACTCTTGCCATCCTGCTGGGCAGTGGAGAAGGGTCCTCTCCATTTTAGCAAGGAAGGGAAAGTGGCCCAGAGCTGCTTGCCTGGGAAATCAGTGCCAGAGACCTGGGGATTCTAGCTCTTAGCATCAGCAGTGTTTAGGTCAACTTTCGTCTAATACATCTCCTTGATAAAGCATCCACTGCCAAAAAAAAAAAAAAAAAAACACCACAACAAGAAAAACCAGCCCCAGGTTACTGTAGCAACAGCTGATTTCCCCAGAAGCAGCAATGACTGAGCAGGCGCTCGCTGCTGAAACGGTCGCGGAGGATTAAGACGTGACTGCCATCAAACCCCAGTGGTTTGTTGTTGCTCCTCTCCCTGTGAAGCCCCAAAGCACAGCTCTGCCACCAGGACAGCCTGGGGGGGGGCCATGCTCCAGCCACATCATCATACAGCTTTGCACCCCAAGCTAAGCGCTGCTCTCTGTGCCAATGCAGCCAGGCAGCGATCACACAATTTGTTTTCCTAGGAGAGCCAGGGGAGGGAGGACGACCTCCAGCCAAAAACCCAAATAATTGTTAACCCACTGCAGCCACTGCAGCTGTGAATGCTTGCCCATAGCGTGAGCTCCCAGGGGAGAAAAGGATGAGCTGATTGTCCTGTGCTGAAGCTAATTACTAGCCACGACACAGATGACGTGTGAGGAATGCTAACCCCTGGCATAACCAGTGGTGAGACCCAACACGCACCAGGCAGTCCAGCTAGAAGCAGTGCAGGACCCTGAGGTAAGAAACAGCAAAACCAGTAGGGAACTTGCTTCACGGAGGCTGAGACCTCTGCGAAGCAGCTCCTCAGGCCCGTAAGTGAATGCAAAATGGCATCAAATACAAGATGGACGCTGCAAACCCAGTTATGCTCCCATGCTTACGTGCCAGGCCCTCTGCAATGCTCAGTTTCTCGGAGAGGGCATCCACAGAGATCAAAAACAGCACAAAGAAAATCCATCAGGAACATCTGAGGGGCACCAGATGGCTTCCTCAGATGGCCACAGACTGGACAACCACAGGCCCTGTCACTCAGCGGCACTGTCTGGGGTCTCTGTGACGCTCTTGCTTTAGTCCACCGCCTTTCCTGGACTAAACTCTGCCTCCAGAGGGACTGGTGTAAGTCCGCCAATCTCTGTGGAGGTTTCTCCAGGGTTCTGGCACAGTAACCGAGAGCTTGGTCTGGCTATTCCTCTGGGAATGGCTGCAAATGTCTGTGTTCAAATCAATTAACTCAATATTACTTTAGGCCTCAGCCTCCATGGGCACTGCCTAACACACACTGGACACATTCATTAGCAAGGAGAAGCCTGTTATTTACATCGATCATACTTGCCTGATGGAATGGGCAGGAATCTGGGCTTTCACAGGTGGTGCAGTGTCATGTGCAGTTTAGCAGTACATAAAGCAACAAGGACTGCATTTGCATATAAATCTATCCATGTACAGCATCAGCAGCTACATCACTGTCTGCTAGAGGCAATCCGTTCTGCAGACAATGAGGCATTGAGCCTTCCAGGTAGTGTAAAACCTTCGGGTTAACGGGATGTTTTGTTACAGACATGGTTTCTACAGGGGGGTCAGTTAATTCTGTCCATGTAAGACACGTACAGGACTCGTTAGGGTTCATCTAACCATGTCGTCTAGGTTAATGGGGTTAAATGACAGCACATCACCAATAGCTATCTGACGGCAGGGTCGCTGCAGATAGCATTGGTGGTTTAGTGTGTACAACATGCCACTCAAAATAAGAACTATTACAGTGCATTGAAAGTGTGAAGGTACTCACACTGCCTCCTCCCGGGATGTGTTTGATATTATCCTTTGAGCCACACCTGGATTGAACGCTGCTAAAGTCCAACTTCTTATTAACAATCTGCACCTTTGGTAGCCAGAAAAGAGTCATTGCACGTCACCAATAGCTATCTGACGGCAGGGTCGCTGCAGATAGCATTGGTGGTTTAGTGTATACAACATGCCACTTATAATAAGAACTATTATAGTGCATTGAAAGTGTGAAGGTACTCACACTGCCTCCTCCCGGGATGTGTTTGATATTATCCTTTGAGCCACACTTGGATTGAACGCTGCTAAAGTCCAGCTTCTTATTAATAATCTGCACCTTTGGTAGCCAGAAAAGAGTGTGAGAAACAACATGACCATCCGCAGCTCGACCACGTGTTATATAACTAAAACCAGGAACCTGCCTTCCAATGCCAAGGGCAAAGGATAATCTCTCACTTGCTGCGTGGATTTGTCTATTCAGGGGTTGGAAACTGAGGACAGAGGTGGGCAGGTTATAGCTAGAGGTTGGATGTATATGGCTGGCTCCAGCAAGACAGCCCTGGTTTGCAAGACAGGAACTGGGCTGGCTGAAAAGCCAGCCACCCACGTTTTCTTTTGCTGCGCAAAAAGGGGAACGTGCTGGGCAACAAGTGGGCTGGAAGGCACCAGTGCTCTGAGACTCAGGTTCTGCAGAGTTGCACCGTTGAGTTGGTGGACTGGGAGGAAGGAACGGTGCTGAGAGAAAAACGCCCACTCAGGCCCGTGCCCCATGCAGGGCAGCCTGCCTCCTCTCTAGGATAGAACTAGCGCAACCTCACTTTTCAGCAGCTCGAGCAAGCTGAGAAACAGCAAATGGGTGTAGCTGGCCCAGGGATCAGACAAGAGAGCAGGACTTGCCTGTCCAGCTTGGCCTGAGGGAGGATGCCTGAGCTCTGCATCATGCGGGGCTCAAACTCCCTCTACAGTTACAAAGTGAAAAAGCAAACCATACCAGGGATGTAGTCCCATGCCTGCAGTTTTCTAAAGTCCCAAACAGATGAGATGAAAGGGGCAGCATAGGCCAAACCCCAAACACAGCTGCTCTGCAGCATATTCCCAGGTCTACCCTGGGTGGGAGAGAGGCTGGAAAGAGCTTGGTACCATGCAGGAAACACATGCCCACGGGTACCATGCTAACTTCACTCTCCAGCCCCGGGGCCTGCCTACCCTCTCCCCACACACAGGTTTTTGTACTAATGAAGCTATTTCCACTTAGGGTTTGCTTTGCAGTTTGGAGTTTTACAAGGCCAGCTACACAGCAATGACCCCATGTGTGGCAGTAGCTATCCCAGACGAGCGGTGCCATGGATGAATATAATCCCTGCTCCTTCCCCTACCTGGACTGGATTGGCTTTAAGACCTATGCAAGTATAAACTAGAGGCAAATGGAGGTAAAAAACAGCACGCACGCAAGACGTGCGTTTCCCTTAAGAC